TTTTGAGCTGCTATAATCACATGATTTGTCCTGTAGGAACAGAGTAAACCTCATCTGATGTTCTCACATAAAGACTGTTTCATGTTCCCCTGCTGCTGGATACAGAGTCCTGGTGGAGTCCTCCAGCTGCATTTGGGCCTCCGACTGAAACAGAACCAGCACAAAGCAGGGAAAACCTCCACCAGCAGCTCTTCAAAGCAGAATTATTCTGCTGGAACATTCCTGTGGTACACAGGGAGTTTCAGTATGACATTCTGGGTTTATAACCGTATAATACTTGCAGTAAACCTGTGATCTGGACTCGTGCCAAACAATTGAAGCGTGCATAACAGAGGAGTGGCTGTTGGGTAGAATAGCCTCCTGTGCCGTTTCTGTCCTGGATTAAGATTAAGATTATTTCCATTTATTTCTGTGGTTATTTCTGTTTTCTGTTCGTGGGCCTGAACCTTCAACATGTTTGAATGTCTATGTTGAAAATACATTTTTGACTCTTTATTGTGTCTCTGATTTTTTCTCTACGCACCAGCTGCTTTCAGACACTTTCAGGATCAAATTCATGCAAAGCTTTGAGGAAAGTTAAGTACAAAACAACAGTTTTTAGTCTGTATTTTACCAGCTAAGAATTTCATTGATAAATAGATAAAAATGAACATTTCCCAGTTTGTCAGAGGACAGAAATCCTCCAGCTGCATTTGGGCCTCAGACTGAAACAGAACCAGCACAAAGCTGGTATTTGGTTTAAAGCTCTCACTGGTTCTGACTGTGAGCAGCTCAGGAAGTTGGCTCCCTGTGGTCTGTAAAAACAAAATTCTTGGAGGCCAGCAGGAGTTTGCTGGTGGAGCCAAAGCAGAGTGATAGTTTTATGGGAACGAACCGCACAAATAAGAGAACCACGGAAACTTTTTAACTTGCTGCAGCATCAGAGACATCAGAGGTGGAGACACAGATGTAGAGATTTAGTTGTTTTTAAATGCTGTCCACAGAAACCTGCTGGATGTTTCTACAGAACAAACCACCTCAAAGAGGCTCAACCTCACAGAGCTCCATGAACCGGCCTGTTTTAGTTTGTTCCTGGAGAAAAAAACCTTCACTGACCCACTCCTGGTTTAGGAATGATGCTGTATCATCTTAGTCATTTCTTCTGACAGCCAAAGTCCTTTACATGAGGCAAAGTTACCAACTTGTGTTATCTTTATTGTTGCTCCTGAGATTGCTTTACAACTTCACAATCTTTCCTGCTCTGATTATTCAATAAAAACTGTGAATGTCATAAAAAGTTTGTGCGGCTGGTTGATGTCGTATCTTCTATTTTATGGCGATAATAATTCAGCGCGGACCACCTGTGTCTTGACGTTAACCTTACTTTATTGAACTTCCTCAAGACGTAACACGTCCAACCCCGTGATCCCACACACACAATCCTATTGGTCTACTATACTTTCTGTAACGTAACTTGCGTAAAGCATTAACCCTTAATGCACAGTATTCAGACACACCACAGTTGACAACAGATTAAATGGGAAAATTAAATCGACTTCTGGGATGCACCTGTATGTATGAATGGGAGTCTGAGGCCGTTTGGCATAACACACATTATTATTATTATT